GCCCAACAGGACACGGTGCCGGAAGGAAAGGTGGCTCAGGCATACATCGTGAGGCAGACCTTGAGGACGGCGATGACGAAGCGAGCGACCTTGACGATGTGAAGACAAGTTCGAAATGGCAAGACGCCGGCCATGGAAGGAAGGGCCGCATGGGCACACATCGTGGGAAGACAAAGACGCCCAAGAAGGACAGAACCGAATTGGACTCGCTTGAGGATAGCGAAGCTGCAGCTGACGAATTTGGAGGGAGGAGGACGAGTCCAAAATGGAACGATCATGGCCATAGGGGAAAGGGCAGCGCCGGTAGACATCGCGGAGAGAGTCAGCCGCTCAGCGAAGACCTCAGCGAGTCGAGCGAGGGTGAGGACGAAGACTCGGACACTGAGCCCGAGAGCGCACGAAGCCCCGCGCGTGGCAGTGGACGTACGCGAACCACATTCCAAGACATGCCAGTGCGAGGCAGTCAAGCCCAGAACAATGCGGCTAAAGACGATTGCCCTTGTAGGAAAGGTCAAGGAGAGATGGGTGGAAGCGAGACGGAGTCGAGCGCAACTCCAGCCCTGGACGAGCTGCCAAGCACAACAGACGACGACTCGGAGGAAGAGCAGTCCCAAACCTTTGATTGCCCCGAGACGGAGGATGAGACTCAAGATGAGGACGAGGCTGAAGATGAAGCAAGCCTCACAGACGGTCACGGGACGAAGAACTCGCACAAGGCGGAAGAAAGGAGCACGAGCCCAGAGGCGAGGCCTAACAAGCGTGGTACTGCACAGACCACGACTGAAGGAGGAAATGAGGGCAGCACAGAAGTCGAGGAAGCTGCTGATCAAGCTGTAGATGTCGAAGGAATTGTAGCGGAGCGTATTGCGCCCAGGAAGCCAAAGAAGGCCCAGAGGCGCAAGATGAAGCAGGCGACAGTAGAAGACTTAGCGACGCGCAGCGAGACCCAAGGCGGTACGGGCCGGCCCAATAGACACCTGCGCCATAAAGGCATGAGGCGCTGGACCAAGAGATGGTCTCGCTCCTGACGCGGTCTTCTCTCGTCGTCATGATCCTTTGTAGGCTTCCCCCGTGAGATCCACGCAGCTGGACTGCTAGATCAATTTGTGGCACCAGTCGTGCCTTCTTGTGCATCTCTCCATTTCTATCTCGCCCTCCTCTCTCTTTCCCTCAGGTTCGCATACCGGGCAATGCAAGCAAGTTCAAGCCTTCCACCGACGCCTACCTCCCCCAGTTCTTGTACGTGTACAGACCTATATCAGATACGATCTCGGTCTCGCTCCTTTCCCACGGAATCTATCTCACTGGTCACAGCTCCATCTGGGTTCACGGTCGGAGATCTTTTCGAATCTCACGCTCATATAAGACTACGTTGTGTTCGACCCTTGACCTTATGCATCTTTGCACCGCTAAAAGCGGGCGGCACACTTGAGCTTCCCATTCACCCTGCTGCGCTGCGACGCACGATATCTAGACATTGCCATGCAGAGGAGGATCTTGTCCACCTGATCCTCGTCTTTTGATTATCAATTTGCGGCGAATCTATAGGATCGCTTGCGGAATGCTGTGATGTTTAAGGATGCTGATTGACATTTGAAACGAGTGATTGCCAAGCGGATGGCAAGTGACCTTCATGGAGAAAGGGCGTGACCATCATTTATAGCTGCTACGATGGCACCCCCGACGTCGCGATGAAGGCTGCTTCTCGCGCAGTTGACTGCGACTTCCTTGGCGGTTTCCCAAGCATCTTTACTCGTCCTTCTCCTCGCTGTCACCACCCTTAGCTGCGTCGTTCTCGTCAGCGCCAAATTCAGCCTTCGCCTCGGCGTCTTGTCTCGAAGTCCTGAGATAATTAAAGAGCAAAGCTCAATCAGCCCCGGCGTTCCTGGCTCCAAGGAGCAGTGAAGCTGGTCGCAAGCCCTGCACGCCCACTTTGAACTCACTTTGCGGCTGCGACAGTCTTCTTTGGATCGGTAATGTGGCTGTCCTCTCCACCTCTGTGTCCCTCCTTGGCAGCTGCGACTCCGGTTTTGAAGACGTGATCGTCCTTGTGGGTCTCGCGGACATCAGTCTGCTTGGCCTTTTGTCTAGACGAAGGTTCGTCCTCCGCAGTATGAGATAGCTCAGCCAGGCGCTGTGGGCGCATCCAAGAAGAGAATGATCAGCATGCACGCCATTGCTGGCCTAAGTTAAAGCGCTGTCTGGCGACCTTTGAAGCATTACCCTGCCCGGCAAACACAGCTGCCCCATCCTACGTGCTCGCGAAGAGCCTCACGCACCTTGTTGCCTGCGGGAGCATGCTCATGCTGATCCTTGGACTCCGTCTTTCCCTTTGCCAGCTCCTCAAAGTCGAGTCCAGCAGACTTGTCGTCCGACACGCGAGGCTTCTTGGCGTGTGAATCGTGGTCCCCGTGACCATGGCCATCCTTCTTGGGAGTGGTCAGGTAGATGCCGAGACCTGATGATCATGTTGGGAGCATACAAGGTCAGCAAAAGGCATCGCGCAGGCCATACGAAAGCAGAGCAATCTGAAATCGAGGCTGCGTCGGCTTGAGACATGGACTGCAGCCGCTGCTTAACGCAGCACTTGAAGACTCGCTTTCACGCAAAGGGCCCCACGGGCCTCCTCGTTTGCAACGCCTGCCTCTGCGCTGTGCACCTGCCTCTACTGACCTCCAAAGACGACGAGACTAGAAATGGCCCAGGGGACATCGCTGCTTTGCTGTTGCTTCTCGCCTTGATGAGCACCGCTGGCGTAAGACCTGCGAGCGAGTGCTGGCGAGGGGCATCTCCTGGGCAGCGCAACCGCAGCGCGGCGGATAGCGGAGGAGGAAGCGGAGCGAATAGGAGCGATCATTGTTGATGCCAGACCAATCTTTGAACGTGCTTGCGCGATACGAAATGGAAATGAAGCGAATGAAGGTTGAGAAGGAGGAGGAGGTGAGTTGGAGCCTGACGAAGAAGATCAAGGAGCGAATAAGTTGCAGGCTGCATGCTTTGGCAACCGCAACGCACGCAGCACGTTTTGGCTTGCGTCTGTTGTGTAGTCGCGCGGAGGGGCCTGTCTGCCTGCACGCAGAAGAGGCTGAGAGGCTGCATACATGCATGTAGGCTGGCGCGTGCGCGCGCGAGATGGGCAGGCAGCGTTGCACGCCGCGCTTGCCTTCGCAGCCCCTGCAAGCGACGCGCGCGGAAAGGCATCAGGCGAGATTCGATCGGTTGCATATTCACGATTCGTCGTTATGCCTGCATGCTTTCTTCCGCAAGCGACCATGCAGCAGCAACAGCAGCAGCAGCAGAGCGCCTCTTGAGGTGAGTCGGGTATGCCAAGTTATCAAGGAGTAGCACGCCATACTGGTTTCCCGAGTGGATAGTCTGAGTGAACTGGTAGCGGCAGCGACAAGTGAGCGAGAGAGTGTTAGGCGACGGGAGTGTGCGTGGTCAGGATTCGGCAATGCGCGCAGGGCTTGATGCTCAGCGACGTCAACGGGTCCAAACCCAGCTCTACAGCATCCGCTCTGCACAACACCCGTCGCGTAGAAGACTCATGACTCCATGCAGCCGTTCGTCGTGATGAGTCGCGCGTGGGCGCAGGCGTGTTCGCTTGCTGGAGAGGCATCTTGCTATACATCACGTGTGTCGCATCAATCAGACCTTCGGCCGCCACGTGCAGGTGCTTCTCCGCGTTCCTCCGATTAGCCGGCAGCGCCGCGCTTCATGGTTAAAGGTCACACGATCGATATGTTAAGCAGCAGCTTTTCCGATCGGAAGACGGCGGTCCATCAGCAAGAGCTTGATGTTGCAGCTAGGCATGTTCGCCATGTCGCAGGAAAGGCCCCTGCATCAAATATATATGTAGCTGCTTGCTTGCTGCCCTTGCGCAAACTAAGCGGCCTCGATCGGCACGTCGCTTGGAAGAAGAGATCACGAGTCAAGAGGCTGTACTCAAGACTAGACTGCATGTATACTCGGCCCGCCGAACTCGTGACCGACAGCATGTATGGGAACATGGGACCCGAGCCCTTCCCACTCGTGACTGCACCTCTTGAGCCTGAAAGCGATGGGGGAGAATCGTGAATGAATTTGACTCACGCTGGCCCACCGTTCGCGACGCCCCACGGAACAGTGTGAGTCACGATGCAAACGCCTGTTGGTATCTAAAAGGTGTTTGAAGGT